CAAAACAACCTGGGGAAGTTGCTTTCTTCGTCCCCTTCCTTCCTCTCAAATCAACCCTTATTTGTGAGGCAGATAAGGTCCCTTTTTTCTAAGAAACCAGCATTGCTTGATCAACAACTCTGGGTCCGGTCCTATGCTGAGGCCAGAGGATGAAGCATCAAGACAAAGAGCTTGTTGTAGAGGAACTACACCTGTAGGAGAGATGAACAGCACAGCACAAGTGTTACTAATCCTTGGGCCTAGAGACAGAATGGAGAGGATGAGTCTGGAGGTGGATGGGGCAGTCGCACAGATCCTGTGGCTGCGTCAAAAGGCTTTACCTTATTCTGAGGACAATGGGGAACAAACGATGGAAAGGATTTAAGCAAGGGAGAGATAAGCTCAGACTTATGTTTTAGAAAGATCACTTTGGCTTCAGGGTGGTGGACAGATTAACAGAGGGAAATAGGAGGCAGGGATACTAGGGTGGAGGTGATGCAGGCCTCCACCTAGTGTTGGGGAGTGAGCCAGTGGGCTGGAGGGAAGTGGAAGGTACAACGGGCCAAGTCTTGGTATGGTGAGCACGGGAGAGAGAGGCATTGAGACCTCTACCATAGCCAGATGTGAGGGTCAGTGAGGGCCCCACCATGTAGCAGAAAAAGGAAACAAGGATTGCCGTGGAGCTCTGTTAACTGGAGGCACCAACACAGCTGGACCAGAGCAGAATCTGGCAAAAGTCACCAAAAGGGAGCCATAAGACTGGATTGTAAACAGGAGGAAAGGATTTCTATGTCTCAATTTTAAATGTGGGCATCTGAGACCCAAAAAGAGGAGGCTCAGTATCTGGCAGCATCTGTCAGTGTCTGGGTGTGGAATCCTTGAGTACTAGAATTGGAGAATTCTGTGGCATAGTCTCCTCCCATGACCTGCTACATCTGGCTCTTTTTGTTCTGGTTTGCTGATTCCAATGTAAACACTTGGTGGGCAGCGGGGAGGGGCTGCCTTCAGGGGGCATCCGTCTTCATACTGACATAAACACTGAGAAAACAACATTCCATATTCCTGGCTAGTTTTGGAGTGGGTGATGTTTCCATCCCCAAGTTCAGTAGGAGAGGCAGATTTTGGGGGCAAATGTGTATAAACAGGTGTATGAGCGTGGGTTTGGACATGCTGGGTCTAAGGGGTCTGGAGGGAATCGTGCAGAGAGTTCTGGGGGTTGATTATGATTCTGGACTTCAGGAGAAAGGCAAACTGGAAAGAGCTGTCAACTGAGAAATTGTTGGTAGATGGTACAGGAAACCACAGAAGCAGGTGAGAGCCTTCAGAGAGAAGGTGCCACAAGGAAGAGGCCAAGGACTAGATCTGGAGGAACAAACAGTGGATGAGAAGCTGACTAGGGCGGCCACTGGGAGACAGGGGAGGACATCCAGGAGACAGTGCATGAGAAATGGGGAGTCCACTGGGCTCAGCGCTGGGGAGAGTGCTGGATTCCTTAGCAAGACCAGCATAGGAGAGGTGGGGTCACAAGGAGTTGGAAACAGTGGGCACCGTTTTTTTTTTTTGAGATGGAGTCTTGCTCTGTCGCCCAGGCTGGAGTGCAGTGGCACAATCTCAGCTCACTGCAACCTCCGCCTCCCAGGTTCAAGCAATTCTCCTGCCTCAGCCTCCTGAGTAGCCGGGATTACAGGTGCCCGCCACCATGCCCCGCTAATTTTTGTATTTTTAGTAGAGACAGAGTTTCACCATCTTGGCCAGGCTTATGTTGAACTCCTGCCCTCGTGATCCACCCACCTCAGCCTCCCAAAGTGCTGGGATTACAGGCGTGAGCCACTGTGCCCACAGCTGTTTAGCGAAATTAAGTTATGAAGGGATAAAGAAATGAGGCATTAGCTGGAGGAGGAAGCTGAACCAAAGGAGGTTTTGTTTAGATTTATTTTTTTTTAAAGTGACAGAGACTTGAACAAGTTTTGAATGAGGATGGGAAGGAGCCTGCAGAGGGTGAAGTTTGTGATTTGGGAGAGAGGGGCTGATTGATGGGTGAGGTGCCTTGCGGGGAGGGTTGGAATCCAGAGGGACTGGTCTTGGACAGGCCCTGCCTGCTCCTCTCCTGAAACAGAAGGAAACAGAGGCTGGGCACAGGTGGGGCCGTTCTTCAGGTCTGCCAGCTGACATTTAGGGGTTTCTTATCTGATGTCTTCTATTTTCTTTGGGAAGTAGACAAGGGTGATCTGCTAGGAGTGAGGAGGGGAGATGTAGAGGAGGCAGTTGAAAGAAAAGTTTTTGAGAAGCAGATTGTGGCTGATGTCATGGGGCTTTCCAGAAGGCATTTCTGCTGATCTTTGTTGAAATGTCACCTTAGAGAGGTCTTCCTGGCCCACCCCAACCACAGTGGCAGCCCTGCCCTTTACTCTGCTTTTCTTCTTCCTGGAGTTATCACTACCTGAAATTGTATTCTTGGTGTATTTGATTCTTGTTTGTTTTCTTTCTCCCCACTTGGAATGTATGCTGGTGGCGGGGCTTTGTCTTGCTCACCACTCTAACCCTAGAAACTAGCACTGTCTCTGGCACAGTATGGCTGCTTAATGCCCACGTGTTGGAAGAGTGGATGAATCTCTGGGGGACTCAACTCTGGGCAGCAAAGCCACCCACACAGATTGAGGACAGATGGCTGCATCCCCTTGGACTCGTAGACACTTCTTGGGTCCCTGCCCTGTCTTTTTAGCTGTTTAGATGTTCTCCGCATTCCTCCTCTCTCCTGGTTGGGTGCTCCTGAGTCTGGAGTTCACCTTTGGATGCTGAAGACAGGAGAGGTGTTGGAGGCAGAGCACAGGCTCTGGAATCTAAAGACTGGGGCATGATGCTAGTTGTGTGACTTTGGACAAAGTCCATCATCACTTCCCAGTCAAGGCATGGTAGCTGGAGAGTGCTGGTGACCACACTGATCTCACCCAAAGTCCCTTTGCTCCTTCTTTCAGCTAGGGATTCTTTCAGAATGTTATTTGTTCACATATACCTGTGTAATGGTTTATTTGTCTTTGAAAGGGAAGATGGAGGATGAAGTCATGCTTGTCACCAGCATGGGGGGAAGTCACTTCTCTGCTCCCCGAGTGTTTTGCTTTCGATCCCCTCTTTCCAGGCTCTCCATGGCTCTGCTCAACCTCACAGCTAAATCCCCAATGAGTCTGTGTAAATTGAGTCCACTTTTCCCGCTGATTTTTATGGTTATTTCAGAGATGCTACCTCCTTTTTGGTTGTTTTTTTTCTTGGCTTCTAGCTCTTTAGCTTTATTTAAAAGCTTGGCAATGTCTTGGACTCATGCACACATGGAGCCCTGATAACCTTGGGGTAAGTGGAGAGGGCCCATGGTGGGGAGACAACTGAGACCAAGGCACCAAAGGGCACCTATGGGTGTTCATCCTGGAGGAGAGCCTCCAGCTCCCAATCCCTGCAGGACTTCCCTGGGCAGTGGGAGCCTGTGTGGTCCCAGAGGGACACCCATGGGGAAGGCTGTGGGCAGGTGGCTTTCACTTTAGTGACTAAGAAGTCTTTTGAAGAATTAAGACTATTCAAAGATGGCTGGGGTATTTTGAAAAGTTTCCTGTCACTAGAGATGTGTGAGCATGTGGGCAGGGATTCTCACCGGGTGAAGGTGTTGGGCAAACACCCGGCATTCTGGGAATCTGAGATCAACGTGACCTGCCTTGAGGGAACTACAATATGCTGCAGAAAAGGAAACCCCTTTTTTCTCCTCCCCTCATCTTTTGTGTTTTGAAACTCTTATCCCCATTTTGTGAGCAGACTTATCTTTGTTCTCAAGCAGCCGGCTGGGGCACTGTGGTTGCAGCACACTTGTCAAGGGTAGCGTGTTTCTTGGACACTGGCCCACTGAGCTTCGGGTCCATTGGCTGATGGCTTGAGCTGGCTTACTAGCCTGAAGGGCTGCAGAAAGAGCCTCAGCCAGGATCCCTGGTCTGCCTTAACTCACGGGGGACAGTACCCTTTGGTCTTTGGGCCGCACATTTCCACCTATAAAGAGAGGTCAGGGCTGCATGTTTCCATCTATAGAGGTCAGGGTTCAACTAGGCAATGTTAAAATCCCTTTCTGATCTGATTCTTGGAGCAAAGCTTACTTTAGACTCTTGGGAAGCAGAGAGGAGAGTGTTGATGTATGCTTGCTCTTCTCAGCGCCCCCTGTGGTTTATTTCTGGTGAGGTCAACAAGGAGTGCCAAGGTGAGGGTGGGAGGTGGGGCTAAGGAGCTGGGATCAGTGAATTATCTTCATGCCTTGCTCTCTCCCTGCTTCCTTCTGGAGTAAAAACAGGCTGTCCCAGACCTCCCAGCCCTGTAAGTATCCCAGCTCGGGGCATTCTGAGGGCGTGAGGCATGCAGTTCCGTAATCCAGAGGAACTGTCCAGGCAGTCACTTGTACCCCAGAGAGAGGATGCCTCAGCCCTCTTGAGGGGCTGTAGCTACAATAGTGGGGCCAGGTGCTGGGAGCTGTCCTTCCTCTTACCAGGCACCCAGGGCAATCAAGGCAGGTGCCTGGCAGGTGCTCCTAGTTTTCTAGCTTTATTTAAAAGCTTGGCCATGGCTTAGGCTCATGCACACTTTTTTTTAGCTTTATGTATTTCTTAAATAAATCTAAAGGAGCCAGGAGGAAGCTAGGCACAGGGAGGCAGTGGCAAACTGGCTATGCCCTTGATCAGGGCACAGGCTGTGAATGTGGTCAGTATGAGACCAGGATCTCCTGTCCCTTGTGGGATTGCTGCAGAGGTGCACAAGCATAGCTGATAAGGAGGGGGGTAGGGCTCAGGTAAACCAGATTAGCCAAAGATTCCTTCCAATCCTGAGATCCTATAAGTCCGGCTTTTTTTGTGTGACTTAAGCCTTCTCTCATAGCACACATCGTGTCTCTCACATAGTCTCTTCTTCTCCCCTGCCCTCCCAGGGACCTGGGGCCTGGCTAGTGACAGTGGTTCCTGAATGGCCTTGGCCTTCTGTCATCATTTTAGATCCAGCAGATGGGGATCCTGGATGCGGTGGTGTCCTGGGCTCACCAGTTCCCCTATGCCCACCCACTCTGGTTCGGACAGTTCATTGGCTTCCTGACCATCTATGAGCCCGACTATGCCAAAGCTGTGTACAGCCGTGGGGGCGAGGAGAGAGGATGGGGCTCTCAGGAGAGTGTGGGGCTTCCTGAGAACAAAAGGCTTGGGGCACGATGTAGGGAGGAGGCCTGAGCCTGTGAACCAAGTCTGGGCATCTGAGGTTCCCACTCTACTCATGAATGAGCCTCCTCTGGGAACCCTGGGTTCCTGCTCGATCTGATTGTCTCCTTCTCCTGCAGACCCTAAGGCCCCTGATATGTATGTCTTTTTCCTCCAGTGGATTAGTGAGTGAGCGCCTGCTTTCCCTTCCCTGCCCACCTCAGACTCATGGTGCTGGGTGACCAGGATCCTGCCCTGCCCACTTGGTTGGTTATCCCAGATGGCCTAGTTCTTGGGTTCAGTGAGGAGACAGAGGAGGAGCAGGAGAGCCCCCAGCTGGCCACGGATGTGGGGCCAAGGTATGTTCTCTGGCAGGGCCTGCCTTCTCTAGATAGGGCAGAGGCTCTGGAGAATGTGTGAGTGTGAAGAACAGTTTCCTGAAGGAGGTGGCACTAGAGTTGATTCAAAAGCAGATTTAAATAGGTGGTGCTGGTCAGGGCAAAGACCTGAGGAACGGTGTGGTGGTAGGACCATGGCTGGTCACCAGAAGCGGTGAGGCTGTCGGGGTGGCTGCAAGGCAGAGCCCAGCTGGGATATGAGGCTGGGCAGGGAGGCCAGGGCAGCCTTGGCTGCCAGGATGGGGAGGTGATTTGATATTGAGAATAGGTGGGAGTCACAGAGTGTTCTTTTTTATTTTATTTTTCCTTTACAGAGGTAGTCAAGTTAAAGCCATGGAGTATTCTTTAACCAAGGCCACCTGCTTCTCCAAAGCTCCTCTTTTGCTCACGATCCTATGGGGTCTTCAGTGTCTTCTTGAGAGCCGAGAAAGGGCAGGGGCAAGAGGTAGAACACTTTCCCAAGCCTATTTACTCACCAAGTGCCATTGGGAAGACTTTTTGCTTGTACCCTCTTTTCAGTTATCAAAGGGAGGATAAAATTAGAAAGTAATAGAAAAGGATTAGGAAAACAAAGAGGTGGTCTTGAAGACAGGAATGCATTTCCATTGGTGGGTGTGTCGGAGTGGGGTAGGAAGGGCCCCACCTGAGGCTGTGAAGCATGAACACAGCTGGTTGTTGCCCAAGTCTTGAAGCTGTGGCCACAGTCTCAGCAGCTGAGTCAAGGCCCAGCAGGCTTCACTCCTGCTTGGCTGCCCCCAGGGGAAATGCATGTCCTTTGTCTCATATCTGGCAGTGTTATCTGACACAAGTTCCTGGACCCAGGCTTTGTGGGTGCAGCTGAGAGGCAGAAACTGAGTCTTCCGGTCCTAAGGAATGAGCTCACTCAGCCAAGAACTGCTGCTGCCTGTGTCCTGAGGTCCTGGTAGCCTAGGGTGAGGGCATGGAGGGCAATACTGTGTTGCTTAGTGGCCTACCCTTGGAGGGTTCCAGGCTTGGGGATGGAGTTGAGTGGGATGTGCTTAGCCCCACATCCCTGCCAGGGCTGGGATAGTATCTCCTGGACTGACAAGCCTTTCCTCTCCCATCCCTTCCACAGGGAGAGGACTGCTGGTTCTTGAGGGGCCCAAGTGGTTCCAGCACTTTAAGCTGCTCACACCTGGCTTCCACTATGATGTGCTGAAGCCCTATGTGGCCTTGTTTGCTGAGTCCACACGTAACATGTTAGTGAGCTCCCTGTGACAGACTACTAGAGGCTGTTGGCTGCTGGGCTGGCCCCTCTCCACCCTGGTTTGTCCTGGGTAGAGCATGTGGTGCTCTGAAGTGAGGAGAAGAACTGAGCCCCAAGGCCTGTTCTGCCTGCAGCAGCAGTGCCAAAGCCCTGCTCTGCTGACATGTGCCACATGCTGCTGCTGAGTAGGTATGGAATCTCTGGCAGCCCGGTCCTTGTCTCCACCTGGCCCTCTTTCCTCCCAGGCCAAAGGGTCTCTGTGAGGCCTTAATAAGGTTCCTAGAGTAGCAGATTTGAGAACCATCTATATTTGAGAGTAGTGGGAAAGGGTTTCACACCTAAAAAGTGTCTCCTCCTCATTCTCTGTCTACCACAACTGCCCAAAATTATGTCAATATAACTAATCTCTAAGAGGAATGTCAGAGCTCAGGCTGAGAGTCTCAGGGCTGGATAATCCCCAGGTTATCCAGGCTAGTCTTTTCCCTTGCAGGAAACTCCTCTCCAGGATTACTTAAACACACACACACACACACACACACACACACACACACACACCCCGTGCTGGGGAGCTCACCACCTCTCAGCTGTCCTACTCCCTTAAAGGCTGCCCTGTCTGGGAAAAAACATTTGTGTGCTGTGCAAGATCTGCCTCCTGGACCTGCCCTCTGAGGCTGAAGCCCAGAGGCTGCCAAACTTCTACCCACCCTATCCTGATATTCCAGCAGGATGGAGGGCATGACAGGGACTGCGGGTGCGTGAAGGGGGCCTTGGTGGTGAAGGATAGGCTATGGGTGCTGGAGAACAGTGAGAACAGTGTGGGGCAGTCAGCCCAACTGGCCCCCACATTGCCTCCTACACATTACCTCCTATCCCTGGGCTCCAGGACAAGTGGGAAGAGAAGGCTCTGGAGGATAAATCCATTGACATCTTCAGTGATGTAGGCCACATCGTGCTGGACTCACTCATGAAATGCACCTTTGGAAGAGGAGACGCCAGCCTGGGCCACGGGTCAGGGGCCACCTCAGGGCTGACCACACTGTCTCCCAAAGCCAGCTTAGAGGGGAGAGTTGGCATGCTCCTCAGCCCTGATCTGAGAAAAGATAGGGTCCTGCCCCAGGGAGTCTTAGCTTGAGGGGAGCCAGGACTTGCTCATGGTGGGGAGACAGATCTGGCTTTTATGCAGAGGCTTAAGGGCAGGGAAGAATGGCAGGATGCTCTGTGGTTGGGGCTGGATTTCTGGAATGAAGCTGCTCTGACTCTACTCCTGGGCCAGTGTCTAAGCCAATCCTTCCTCCTATCCTCTGCTGTGCAGGGACAGCAGCTACTACCTTGCAGTCAGCGATCTTACTCTGCTGAGCAGCAGCGCCTTGAGACCTTCCAGTATCATAATGTCTTCATCTACTGGCTCACACCACATGGCCGCTGATTCCTGCGGGCCTGCCAGGTGGCCCATGACCATACAGGTGGGCTTTTCCCACACCTTTTCCTTCACTTCTAGGAAGCCTGGATTCCTCCTCCTTGTCCCTCTATGCCCCCACCCATTATAGGACCCCAGTTCCTCTTTGGACAGAAGATGGCTTCCCAGGCAGTGACATTCTATGCTTCCAGTTCAGAGCAGGTCATCAGGGAGTGGAAGGCAGCCCTGAAGGATAAGAAGGTACGGGAAAAGATCCAGAAACAGAGGCACCAGGACTTCCTGGATATTCTCCTAGATGCCCAGGTGAGTATATCATTGTCCACTCCCACCTGAGGACTGGTCCCAGAGGGGTCTTCAGACCATCCTCCTAGGACACAGAAGGAGCTCTTAAGCATTTTCCCCTCTTTCTTTAGCAAATATAACCTGTTCCTTTTTCCATGAAACATATTAGCAAAGGTTCAGAGGTGAGTTGGTATAGGGTGTGTGTGGCTGGGCTGTGGAATTGGGAGCCTAGGTCATGTGGTAGTGGCCAGATGACATTTCTAGACTTCTAAGATCCCCCAAAATGTTGGCCCTATAGAATCCTAGAATCTTAGACTTCATTCATTCATTTCCTTATTCATCAACTCTAGAAACTCACTGAATTCTGACTCTGGGTCAGTTCCTGTGCTAGGATGCAGAGATGGGAAAGACCTGTCTCTGCCCTCCAGATGCTTATAGTCCAGCAGGGGAGACACTAGGTAGATGTTGACCAAAACGTCTTCCTTTGCCAGGTGGTATTCTTTGTGCCCAATGAGCAGAGCTAACATTCAGACTGGACAAGGTCACAAGTCATTTGGCCAGAGGGATTTAGGGAGGGCTTTGTGGAAGAGGAGGCATCTAGGCTAAGCTTTGAAGAAAGATAGGAATCTGGGGAAGGTCCTAATCCACCATTTGAAAAGGAGCTTTCACTTCCTCCCTGAGACGTTCATTTGACAACCACTGTTATGAGTTCTTGTTACCACCTCCAATACCGCTAGCTGTCCTATTTTGCCTTCCGTAACCGAGGATGATAATGACAACAAGCTATCAGATGCAGACCTCCGGGCTGAAGTGGACACGTTCATGTTTGAAGGCCATGACGCCACCACCAGTGGTATCTCCTGGTTTCTCTACTGCATGGCCCTGTACCCTGAGCACCAGCATCGCTGTAGAGAGGAGGTCTGTGAGATACTAGGGGACCGGGACTCCTTCCAGTGGTGAGTGAGTCTGAGGGTGAGCTTGGTTTATCCTGCTCAGCCCTCCGGAAGGGAGGTGCCCATCCTGTCCTGGACCGTCCTGGAAATCAGGTGAGGTGGTGGCAGCTGTCCTGTTTTCTCCAGTGTCATACCTTTTGTGGTGGTGGGGGCTTGGGGGATGGCTGAGCATAGATGCATTTCTGAGCCCATTCTCTCCAAATGGAGCCTTTTCAGATGTGTTATGTAGAGAAAATTGTCAACACGAGGCTGATATTTTGTGTGCTAACTTCTTCTCAGGGTAGAACCTGATTAGCCTTCTGGGTTCCTGGGTAGATAATGGAGAGCTGGGAGAGAAAGAGGTGGAAATGTGGGGGTGAATAGAGCTGGGACAGCTGGGAGAGCCGGTCACTTGCTACCTGCCTTTGGATGGCAATACTCCGCCTCCAGATGCCATTATGTCCCCTGCTGATGGAGGAGAAAGGACTTCCCCAAACTTCATCACTTAAAAACTTTTTATTGTTTTCCCCATTTCTTGGCTCAAAACTGAACTCCTGAACACTTATGGGTTGCCCCTGACCTCGCTTTGCAGCGTGAGCTCAAGGAGTCTCTCCGAGGTTCCTCTACCCTCCCTTGCTGCCTGTTCTTCTCAAGCCTTTGCTTCTGGTCAGACACTCTACCTTTCTCTCTGGGCTCCTGAGAGGCCTCCAGCAGGTGGCTAGGCACACAGCAGGGGCAAAGAAAATGCTGAGCTGGTGGGGGAACTTTAGATCCACTTGAGGGGTCTGACCTGTAACTCCAGGGTCTGGGACCAGGAGTATGAAGCCTCCATTACCACAGGGTATCCAGACACATGCCAGGTGCTATCAGGGGCACAGAAAGGAAGAGAAAGAGGAGCCAAGTTGCTGCTCATGGGGAGTTTTATGAGAGGGAAATTCACATAACCAAACAGCTAGAGAAAATCACAGGATCAAGTGGTCTGAATGTTGAAGGCAGAGGGAAGGAGTGAGGCTTGAATTGACTTTCTAAGGAGGGTTAAAATTCAGGCAGAGAGAGAGCTAGGCATTGTAGGCTGCAATGTGAACACAACCTGAGGCAGGGATTAAAATATTTATTTTTTTTCACTTCATTCCATCTAGAGCTTGAAGCAACTTAGAGGACGTTGATTCAATAAAATAGTAAAACATAAATTAAAAATAAGAGCCAGTAGGGAGTTTGGGGGCTCTGTAATAAAATATTGCCCAGTAGTTGTAGATGGATGTCACATTTGGGCCTGAGCTTCCTGGTAGCCAAAGGGAAACACACACACACACACACGCTTCACCTCATTAAACAATGCATGAACTTTGGTTGGTTCTTTCAACCAATGTGTATCAGCCCCCGTTTCTTTTCATTCTGTCAGTAGGGGAAACCAGGCTGGAACCTAAAGAACTATTCTTTGTAGGCTTTTATGGGGGCCCTGAGAAGTGACCTTGTCTTTGATGACTGGGTGCAATTCATCCCTAGGGTCCTGTGCCTTCTTCTCCTACCAGTGGAGATGAGAAAGAGATGGAGAAAAGTGGAACCAGATCCTTTAGGTCTGAGTGTCTACACCATGTCATGCCTGGCCTGGGCACATGGCACCCTGTGCCCCTGACTCTTGAGTGTGTGGTGGTGCTGAGGGGGGAAAACCGGGGCTGGAGCCTGCTTTATCCCCAAATCCTGTTGCTTCCCATTCCTGGAATGTTCTGGTTGTGTTGCTGGCAGGGATGATCTGAGCAAAATGACTTATCTGACCATGTGCATCAAGGAGAGCTTCCGCCTCTACCCACCTGTGACCCAGGTGTACTGCCTGCTCAGCAAGCCTGTCATCTTTGTGGATGGCTGGTCGCTACCTGCGGGTGGGATGGGTGGATTTGGGGGTGGAAATGGAGGCCTCTGTATGGTCTTCTGGTACCCTCTCTGCCTTCAGTCAAATCTTTGCACTTTTGGGGAAGAGCTCAGGCTTTGTATTCAGAGAGCCATGGGCCCAAACCCCAGCTCCACAACATGTTGGTTAAGTCTTCTCCCTCTAAACCTCCATTCCCCCTTCTGTAAAATGGGGATAAGGAGAGTATCTATGTTTCAAAGCTGCTGTCAGGATTAAAGATACAATGCTCACCAAGGCTGCCACATGCCACTATACGGGCTATGCCCTGAACAGTGCCAGGGAGATCAGTCACATGGACTATGATGCTATGCAGTGTGCAACCTGCACAACTGATGTGGTAGCTTCATAAAGAGTGTTGAGCCTGTACCTCGTTCATAGTAAGCACCTGGTGAATGATAGCTGTTACTGTCGGTAGTATACTGTTATGAATAATAACTTCCCTAGAGTCAGTTAGCTGAAAAGGTTTAATAGTTCCTTCCTGTTCTACCTCACGATGGATGGGTTCATTCTCCCCTTAATTCATTCCACAGATGTCTGTCGGGGGCTGCACCCAGTGCTGGGGTTACAGGAACTGGGCATGATGATGATCAAAACTACTGTGATGAGTCAGGTGTGGTCATGAACTCTCTGTCTCTGGCAGTGGTCAGGCAGGGGCTAGCACCCCAGTTAAGGGGGAACTAGGGGATGTGGAGATAGGCCTGGCTTCCCAGGAACACCTGGTCACCAACCTCTGTTCTGCCTGCAGGCAGCCTGATCTCTATGTACATCTGTGCCCTCCAAAGGAACAGTGCTGTATGGCCCGACCCTGAGGTACCCTTTCCCTGGGTTGGGAGATCAGACAGGGTTGTGGACTGGGAGGTCACCTTCTGCCAGAACCTGGTGAGCAAGGCCTGTCCTGTCAGGTCTTTGACCCTCTGCGCTTTTCCACTGAGAATGTATCCAAACGCCATCCCCTTGTCTTTATGCCCTTCTCTGCTGGGCCCAGGTATGGAGAGACCCAGTATCCCAGGCCCTCAGGACCGGGGAGGAGAGGGTGGATGACATCATGGGGAGGCATTATTAGAGGGTACTCTGATCAAGGGGGAATCACAGTGGGTTTGTGCTGACTGTATGTACGGTAAGCTTCAGGGACCTTCTTGCAACGATCATATTCCTGTCCCTGGGAAGTGGGTGAGATAGATGAGTCATTCCAAAAGAGACCCCCATGCTAGACACCTACCATGTGAATCTACTTGGTCTGGGACCTGCCCCCCACCCCCCACATGTTCCCAGGGTTTGTTTCTTCAGCCCAGGTCAACCAAGCTATCAGCCAGTTATTCACCCAGAAATAGTATTGACTTCTGTTGGCTGCTAAGAGCGCTGAATGTCATCACTCTGGATTCTCCATTGCCTGATGCCTCTTTGTGCTGCTGGCTACAGGAACTGCATTGGGCAGCAGTTTGTCATGAATGAGATGAAGGTGGTCACAGCCATGTGCTTGCTCAGCTTTGAGTTCTCCCTGGACCCCTCACGGCTGCCCATCAAGATGGCCCAGCTTATCCTGCGCTGTTTGGTTACGTGAATTTCCCTCTCATAAAACTCCCCATGAGCAGCAACTTGGCTCCTCTTTCTCTTCCTTTCTGTGCCCCTGATAGCACCTGGCATGTGTCTGGATACCCTGTGGTAATGGAGACTTCATACTCCTGGTCCCAGACCCTGGAGTTACAGGTCAGTCCCCCTCAAGTGGATCTAAAGTTCCCCCACCAGCTCGGCATTTTCTTTGCCCCTGCTGTGTGCCTAGCCACCTGCTGGAGGCCTCTCAGGAGCCCAGAGAGAAAGGTAGAGTGTCTGACCAGAAGCAAAGGCTTGAGAAGAACAGGCAGCAAGCGAGGGTAGAGGAACCTCGGAGAGACTCCTTGAGCTCACGCTGCAAAGCGAGGTCAGGGTCAATCCAAAAGTGTTCAGCCCTGCTCTAATTCATCTAGTGTGATAAATGGAATAGAGGCCTGGAGTCTTTTCCCCACAGGAGTGAGCTTCTCCCTGTGAGAGAAAAGCCCTTAATTAAAGGGCTCAAGAGCTGGCAGAGTGTGGGCATGAGGGATCACACAGTGTGAAGCTTTGTGCCTGGGGGTAGGCTGAAGTCCTAGCACCAAAGGGCAGGTCCTCTCTTCCCTTTTCCTACTCAGAAAAGACCTGTCTCCTCTGTCTTTCCTACCCCTTGGTTCTCTTCTTCTTCTTCTATCTCCTTCCAAGGGAAGCCAGATACTATATATACTTTGTGAACTTTATTCCAGAGAGGGAATAAAGGGAAAGCAGAGGGATTGTTTGAATGACAGTCACATAGTCAGTTACCATATAGGAGGAATTTTGATGGACAGATCAGGTAGGGGCCATGCTAGGCTGAATCATGGCCTACTATGATGTCCACATCTTAATCCATGGAACCCATGATAACAGACCATCTATGTCAAAATGGATCTTGAAGATGAAAGGAAGTAATGGATCTTGAGGTTGTGATATTGTTCTGGATTATCTGAATGAGCTTGATGTAACACAGGGTCTTTATAAGACGGAAAGAGATGCAAGGGCAGTAAGAGAGAGAGATTTGTAATGCTCTTTGCTTTCAAGTGAGAGGAGAGGCCAGTAACAAAGAATGCAAAAAGTAAAACCCTGGAGCTGAAAGGCCAAGGGGCAGGGCTCTCCCTGAGACCTTCTGGAGGGGTTTGGTCCTGTCCAGAACTTGTTTTCACCCATTTCTGACTTTGACTTCCAGAACCGTAAGAGAATAAAAAGATGTTATATTAAAGCCCTGAGGTTGTGATGGTTTATTACAGCAGTAATAGGAAACTAATACAGGAACAGACAAGCAGGCAGGAAGGAGACAAGTGTATGGGCAGACAGGCTGGAGGGCAGGCAGGAGATTGGAAGGTGGGTGGAGATTCAGGGATGCAGGTGGATAGGAGACAGCTAGACAAGCAGGTAGGGAGCCTGGAGAAAGATGAGAGAGAGAGAGAAGGGCAGGCAGACTGGGGGACAGAAGGCCGGACAGCAGGTAGGTGGGAATAAGAGCAGCTGGGTAGATAGGAAGCAGGATGCAGGTAGACAGGCAGGAGATGCGAGCAAGGGTGAGGAAGACAAAATGGCAGGTGGAGGCCCTCAGAGCTGGTCCTTGTTCCCACAATGGTTAAAGAGCCTCCTGAGATGCAGGTGGATTCCATTTTCGGATTTCAACACAATTTGTGGTCTGGGGTTGGGGATTCTGGTGGGATCAGGCAGCAGCTCAAAGCGGATCAGGGTCAGGGCCACCTTCAGCTCATTCATGGCCAATTGTTTTCCAATGCAGTTCCTGGGCCAGGCAGAGACAATAATTGAGAAGCAGCCTTGGACTCCATTCTGAGCCATGCAGGCTTTGGTCTCTGAGCTCCATTCCTGAGCTGGGCATTCAGGGGCCACCTCATATGTCCATCCCCCATCTTTTTTCCTTTCAGCCCACACGTCTCTACCAAGCCTCAGTTCTCTGCCTTCCATGATGTTGTACAGAGCATGCCTGTTTTCCAGGGCTGGCTCCTAACTCCCACCTCTGCTCTCAGTAGGCCTGAAATCCTCTGGCAGGACAAGGCCAGGGCTCTAAGGCACAGAGTCTAATCACATGGATGGATGGTTTGTTCACTGCTCCACAGACATTTCTGGTTCCCCAGTGTGGAGGCCAGTTGGGTCCTGTAGGGTGAGGATGGGTCACACGCTCAGATGATCTTTATGTAGGGGGCACACAGGGACCTGGATCCTCAGAGATGGGCTGAGATGGGTGGGAGAGGGGAGTCAGATGGGCAGTGGGAGCCTTCTGGCAGGGCACTGGGTGGATGGTCCTCAGCCATTACCCCATCTGCTTCCCACTCTGGGGTTCTGGCTCCTGCCTCCCTTCACTCCTCCATCCACCAGAAATGTTTCTCTTTGCTATCCTTAAGTCTTCTCACCTAGACTTTCTGGATTCCTACTTCCCCTCCCTCCACACTGAAGCCACAGCCCAGCTCAGACCCTCCTATACCCTTCATCATAGCGGGGACAGTGTCCCACTGCCTCAGCTGGCAGCCAAGCCCTCCATGGGCTGTTGCCTTACCCTCCTTCTAGCCCCCGTCCTAGTTGTGATCATGTGGAGATGGCTGAGAACATCCTCACCCAAGCTCTGCATGCCACACCTTCAAGGCTAAGGCCAGGGCCCAGCTGCCTGTCAACCTCTGCCAGCTGTGCCTCTCCCTCCTCAGGCCCCTGGGCAGCATTTGTACTCCATCCATGGAGAGTCACAGTCTAGTGCCTCGGACAGTGCAAGAAGCCAGGACGCTCAGTGAACCCCTCAGTGAGCAAATGAGTGAGCAACCAAAAAAGATGGATGAGGGAGCGACGTGTATCTGGAGCACAGGATGTGTTTCTGTAAAACAAATCTTTGGCCTTGACTGTGAACTCTTAGAGGCAGGGACAGTGCCTGTTATCTGTTTCCCCATCACCTGGCATAGAACTTGGCACTCAGAAACAGGCTTAATTCAAAGGAAAAAAAATAAAGTAAAAGGGAATGGAATTCATGAAAGTAAATATTTGTGCTGACCTGGTAATAGAGCTGCCCTGGACTCTCCTGTTCTCTAGCGGCAGCAACATGGTCTGCAGCCGATGTCAAGTGGGACCTACTCACCCTGGGTAAACCAGATCCTGAGAAGCACATTTTCGGAGGAACAATTTGCTTACAATCTGTTTTGTAAAAGCTGAGTCATCTTTTGAAGAATTTTCAAGAGTATGCACTCAGAAAAAACTTGTTTGTACTCAGTCCTTACAAAACTTCTGGAGATTTGTATTCCCCTGGCCGATTCCTGCAGCCTTTGAGGATTTTCGTAGCAGGTGTTATAGAGTGTACTTGTCTAACCCAACAGCTATTTCAAATGGATTGCATATTTTGCACAGCAGAAACCGTTAAAATCTACGTGTCTTATACCAAATAGTGGTCTTATTCTCAGAGGAAGTTTATTGTCCTCAATATTTTCTGCTTTCTTGCCAGAGTTGTGCTATGTGGACTCTAGGGATTATATCCAGGTATACAGATCTCACTTCACCTGTCACATTTTGACAAGTGGGGCAGTTGTAATAGGAATCTGAACATTAACATGTAGGAAGAAAATTGTGTTTGAATATACTGCAAACATAGAAACAACACATATTGGTTTAAAAGTTTCTTCAAATGCGCTTTCAACCCTCTCTACCTCTACTTTAGTGTGTTGACTTCTGAAAATACTGATATACATCAAGCAAAATTTGGTAAGAGTTGAGTATAAGCATTACCATGGTAATAAACAGCCTTAAAAAAAGTTTCTTCAAAGGTTTACTGTTGCCTTTCAAGTCTAGGACTGAGGAATTAGGACATGCAAGGCATCTTGGTAACAAAAACATACAAGTTTAACATTTCATTTAGTAATTTGAGAATTAATGAATTGAGGAGAAAGTGTGATAGGCTGGATTGAGAAAGGTGGGAAGAGAGAAATTCATTCTTTATGATTCCTGACAATTGAAAAGCACAAAACCTGAAGTTTAATTTATATTTTAATCTAATTCACAGAGTCACACTCCTAAGGTAAGGAAAACACCAGAACACACTGAAGTTTGGGATGCCCACTGACAGCGATTTCTGGCTGGCCATTGGGAAAGAGAATTGCACCCAGAGCCTCCCCCTATTTCTCCACCCCCATTACCACCCAGGAAGCCTGGGATACTCCTGAGAAGGGCAGGAAAGTGTGGTTGTGTCAGGCAGAACCTGGCACAAGGTGAGAAGCATCGTTCAGCCTGCTGAGTGAGCTCCAGGGCTGGGACAGGCAGGGGTGCATCTGCTGCTTCTCACCCATGAGGCAACAGGATTCCCAGAGCGGGAGCAGGCGATGTTGATCTCGAGAACTGACCCTATCCCCTCCTTCCAGGGCCTCTTTACCTCTGGGTTTGGTCACACTTTCAGATTGTGGTGAAGGCCATAAATGGAAAGGGAAACTCTGAATTTGTGGGGAGAGAGCAGGCTGAGTCTATGCTTGAGTGGCCTGGTTTCTCAGCCAGCAGGAGGCAAGTGCATGCAGAAGAGGCCTGGTGCCACAAATCATGCTTTGAGCAGGGCAAGATTCTGTTGCAGTAGAGATAGGCTGTGCTTGGCTAAGCATGGGAGCTTGGGCTGAGGGGCAGAAAACCAGGAATGCAGGAATCAGAAGCAAGAAAGTGTGAAAGCAACTGGGCATGGTGACTCATGCCTGTAATCCCAGCACTTTGGGAGGCCGAGGTGGGTGGATCCCCTGAGGTCAGGAGTTTGCGGCCAGCCTTGCTTTCTTCATTTGGGGAGGCTGTGGTGAGAGTGCAGGGTTGGTCTTTTGTTCTGTGTTTCAACATGGTGAAACCCTGTCTCTACTAAAAATACAAAAATTAGCCAGGCATGGTGGAAGGCACCTGTAATCCCAGCTACTCGGGAGGCTGAGGCAGGAGAATCACTTGAAACTGGGAGGAGGAGGTTATAGTGAGTCAAGATTGTGCCACTGCACCCCAGCCTAGGTGACAGAGCAATGCTCCAGCTCAAGAAAAGGGAAAGCATCATAGCTTACTTTTTGAAGTAACTCACATGAGAACTCATGTTTATGAAGTGTTTCCCAAGAGCTAATGAGGGGTTT